GGTTGCTGAGGATATTGGAGGGCTTGAATCGGCCGAAATATCGGAGGATGTTAGTACTATAGAATCTGTAGCATTTGCACAAGATTGATCATATTTCATGTTGACTTTTATGGGATTTATGTAGTTAAAACATAGCAAAAAAAGTTTCAAGTTAGAGTTGAAACACCTCAGAACACGACAGTATGGGGGTATAACTTGAGCAATAGGGTAACATACAGTGAGTGTTATATATCTTTAATGGATATGGACTTATATTTGCTGCAAAGAATCTTTATACAAAAAGTTTTTTTTTGCTACCCCTAGGGACCCCCCCCCTATGTGCCTGATAAAGATCTTGAACCCCCCCTTGAGCTGGCCATGTTTGTCTATTGGCTTGTCCACGGCAGCAGTCAACGAGCGGTTTCAGCGCTCAGGTGACACAGTCAGCAAGTATATCAACAAGTTGCTTCAGCATTTCACGGGCGAGTTCTATGACAAGTATGTCCATGACCCCATCGATGCAACCCCCGACAAGGTCAAACAAAACCCGAAATGGTACCCATACTTCCGTCTCTGTCAGGGAGCCACCGATGAAGTCCATGTCTTGGCTCACTGTCGAGAAGAAGACATTGTGCGATATCGCGACCGGAAAGGCAACGTCACCCAGAATGTGCTGGCAACCTGCAACTTTGACCTTGTCTTCACCCATATCATGGCCAGTTTTAACAGAACAGCTGCTGATGGCTTCCTTTTCGACTTTGCGCGACGTGATGGCTTTTCGCTACCAGGACACTGTTTTTATTTTGGTGACGCGGGATTTTCAAACTGCGACCTCATCATGAGACCACATCGTGGCATTCGATATGAAGGAGTGGAAGAGAGGGAAACAACAGTGTGTGTCTATTTCCATTGCTTGGATCTGCGCTTACACAATTCTTTGTGCTAGACCTCAAAATCTCAAAGAACTATTCAATCTGCGGCATGCACAGCTTCGCAGTGCTATTGAACGAGCATTTGGTGTACTCAAACGTCATTTCCGGGTCCTCGTCTCCCGTCCTGAGATTGGCTACCAGCAGCAGGGCCTGATGGTCTGCGCTGCCACTGCCCTTCACAACTTCCTTCGTCTACATGAGCCAATGGACGACATTTCCGAAAGACGATGAGTATGATGTAGAGGGACATGTGTATCTGCGAAATGTGGGCAAAAACGATGATGATGAACGTGCAACCCTTCCACCAGTCAACGACAACGAGAAAGAACGGGCAGACGCAAGACGTGATGTGATTTGAAAGGCAATGTGGGCTGCATATATAGTTGAGCACCCAGATTTGGTGTAGAAAGCAATGAAATTCACAGTGTTTACGGTACAGTTTGGATGATTATAATGGGACAACGATGGCTACAGAACATGCTGATACAAGGAAGAGCTGGAACGAGGAGAGAAACAACTATAAACATATCAGAAGCAAGGACCTGAGGAAAGAGAGTATACGCACCTAGAATGGTTCGGCATTGTACTGCTTGAGGATGCTATTGATAATGCCTTGGCGGCAAGTAGCGTTGGTTGTGCACACAAAAACTTGAGCAGTGTCAGGGTCCTTGGAGAATGCCTTCATTACCAGTGCATAGATGCTGCCATCTTTGTCTGCCGGAAGCAAGTCTTCATTTTTTTTCAATGATTTCAACAACGGTATCAACATGAGAAGTATTGTTCTTGATAGCAATGGGCTCGGTGAGGGCTTTCCCAACAGAGCTGAGGGAAGCAGCAATGTTATTGGCTGCATCGGCATTTTGTTTGGCAGTACCAGCGGAGTTTGGTTTGGTCTGGGGCTGAGAAGCAGGTGAAGTGTTGGTGTTGTTTGCAACAGGTTTTGGAGGAGAGCTCTACAGATTCATAAGAAAAAGAAAAAGAAATCATAGGCTTTGCCACGCACCGGAGTCAGGTCATATTCACCTCATCATCCTTCCTACCTGCTCCTTCCGCTCCCGTAGCCACACTTGGACCTTCACCATTGTCTGTGTCACCGTCTGGCTTCTCTGTTTCAGCACGCTGACATGTTGTCATTTTGCTCTTCTTGCTCTTGCTATTTTCCTTCTCCTCTTGTTTGCGCTTACGGCCTACCTTTACCACGTTCTCCCCAGTTGCTTTATTTCTTCCACCATCGTAGACTTTGTAGAGTTCGTTGTAAAATTTGCAGCCCTTGTTGAAGCATTTACGATACTTCTTGTCGAATGTCTGGAAAGTAGTTAGCTGAGCAAGAGAAAAGGTTATGGGAGTTGGAACGCACTGCAAAGAACATGTTCTGGAAATCCTCATCTGCAGTACATCTCTTTTCTTCATCATCCCAGCCTGTCCCACTGTACCCTGCAACGAAGCAGTAGAGCTCAAAGTTGGACTTGATCTGTAGCAACGGTGAGCAGCTAGTATAAAAAACAAGGAAGCTCAGGTACATACATATTGGTTGTGGGCTTGACATTGGGCAGCAGTACGGTAAGGCGTGTTTGCGATGCCATTGACGGCTGCGACAAGCTTGGGCCAGAGAGTGGGCTTCCAGCCATTGCCGGTCTGCTCTTGGGCCTTGTTCTCCAGCATGCAGGCTAGTATCGACCAAGTCTCTTCAGCGGTGAAGGAAGGAGCTTGAGGAGACATTGCCGCTTGCACATGATGTCAATGAAGGTGGAAGCGAAGAAGACAAGGGTGATGTCACACAATTCAGACGGTCTTTCAGGCGGAAACAAATTCATTCCAAACTGACTCAAGTCAGGCATTACATCAGAGTTACCGATCAGGCCCTTTGTCAGACTGCGGGTCGGGCCGTGCAAGGATCTCTCCTAAGAACGCGCGCCCGGAACAGAACAGACGGATAGTCAGGCCCGCAAGTATGGCGGGCAGGGTAGATCGAAACCGAAAGGGCCCGTGAACTCAGTCCCTTGTCGCTATCGGTGGTCGAAGGTTCGAATCGGATCGTGTCGGGCCCGATGAGTCGATAACGCCTCCTTGCACGGAGTAAGGTAGTTCTTCAGACGATCTAAGCGATAGAGTACAGGGTCTTATATATGCGGGCCCGCAAAGGGGGTGATCGGACACCCTGGCCTCTCCTGCTCCTCCTCGCCCCCCGTTCCTGGCCGCAGAGGGGACGATCGTACATCCCTTGTGGGCCAGGCGCTACTCCTAACCTCCTAGCACTCCTCCCCAGTCCCCTTGTGTCGAGTTGGGCTCGGCGACGGCTCGACGCATCGTTCTCGGTCACGTGCTTCCCACGTGTGCGTTCCTCCTACTGGGGCGCATGTTCCCTGTCGTCATGTGCTGCGTGCTACGGGCCCGCGATGGCCCGACACCCAGCTCATATAGCTCCATCTATGCAAAAGATGATGGCCACTGCCTACCAGGCTAATGCAAAAGATGATGGCAAGGGCCTATAATATATTATTCAAAGAAGTATTACTGTGTTTTTAGCACCTGGGAGATGATATCATTGATGGGATTGATGGTAATAAGGTATTTTGACTGATGTGGAACGATTTTTGATTGCCATCACTGCTTTTGATAGCTGAATTCTGTTAGATCAATCTTACTTAAGCCATTATTTATTTCCTTGTTTCTGTCCTATCAAGTCTCCAATGTTACATACCGAGTCATCGGCCTGAAGGAAAAGGTGATTTATCTGACATAATATGTCAAAACATTAGTCATATGCATCAGTTCCATTGAGAAAATCAGCAAATACAAAGGGCCTGACATCTTTTGCATTAGCCTGGTAAGCAATTGCCAGCATCTTTTGCATAGAATCAGCAATAGGTAGTGCGACACCAGCGCCGGAGCGGACGGGCCGGGTCTTATCCGTGACATCACCTTAGCAACTTTCGACTCACTGCCCTTCCATGTTACTGTACTATTTAGATCAAGTGTCCGCCGCGTGTAACGCGTAACGGACACTGTCCGCTGGACAAGGTGTCCGGATTCCCAAAAAAGGCAAGTCCGGCGTCAGCCGGACCGAAAAATTTCCTTTTTCGGCCTGTTTTTGATGGGAATCCGGCCTTGAACGCGTAACGGAGACCACAAGTGTCCGCGCCGCGACCGCGTGTAACGCGTAACGCGGACACTTGATCTAAATAGTACAGTATGCGTCAGGATGCCACATTCAAAGGGGGGGGTGATGTCAGGGGAACCCCCGCTTTGGCCTCCTTTGGACCATCCGAGCGTATCTGGGGTGCATCCAACTGGCGCCCCCTCGGACGCTCCGACCCACTCTGGCGCTTGTCCTCGGCCTCCTTCACCCGCACAATCACCAATCCATCAATACCCTCCCAACAATCACCTTGGGACAGAGCCTGCGACGCCGCTCAGGCCTTCTGCGCTCTACGTCGGCAGTTATGGATGACCAGTATATAGTTGGCGCCCTAGCAGGCGGACCCTTAGAGTTTCTTCTCTTTGGATCCTCCCCTGCTAGGTCGGTCCCTCCGTGTATTTCCCGTAGCTTTTATTCACGCTTTGGATCCTCCCCTGCTAGGCTTTCGTCGGAGTCTCCAGGGTTGCCCTTACAGAAATGTTTAATTCAGCCTGCGGCCAAATTTCGTGTGACCTATTACCTGATTTGCACAGGCACAGAAAATTTGAAAATCTTCCCAATTGGGACACTTTGGGACCAAAAGTTTTGGGTGTGACCTGTGACCCGCCGAAATATTTTGGCCAAAAAATCCGATGTGACCGTGACTGGCCTAATTGAATGAAGTGCGTCAGTATCACCTTCTGCTCCTGTAATTCGGTGCCGAAGAGCAGCGACAACACCAAGCATATATTCGCCACGGAACTTCAGCTCTGGCGGGCCATTGGCACGATTGGTCACTTCGAGCCGGCGGTTGAGGGCAGCAAAGATGCTGCCATAGTCGTCGACTTCGAAGGTGATGCCGTTTTCGATCGACAGCGTGAGATGCATCATTGCCACGTGGCTTCGAATAAGCGCCCGTCACGCTCAACAGCTTTCCCTCTCCGTCGACTTACTTCTAACACACCCGTCCAATGACTCAGGCCCTGGCCCTGGCTGCGCTTCCCCCGGAGCTCTGGGCGCATGTCCTCTCCTACCTCCCACTTGACGACGACGACGAGGCGTGGGAGCCCACAGCGGGCGGGGCGGGCGGCCGGGTAGAAATTGAGGGCGACGAAGACGGGGACGCGGATCCGCCACTGAAAGCCGAGGAGGGGGTTGGTGAGGCGATGGCGCTCCTGTCATACGCCCTCGTCAACCGCGCCTTCCGCGAACTCACGGCACGAATCGCGCTTATACGAAGCGGGTACGGGCGGCTGCTCCAACTTGAACGCGACTTCCCGCTCAAAGACACCGACACGGAACTCGTGCTGTCGCCTGGCGCGCTGAGCAGCTTGGCGCACCACCTGCCCGCGTCGTTCGCAGCGACGGGCAACACCCTGACTAGGCTGGCGTGCACGGTGGGCCCGCGCGGGGAGGCCATCCGGCAGACGCGCGCAATTGGGGAGGCGGCGCTGCTGCTTCCGGTATTGGAAAGACTTGACCTCGCGTTTGAAGTGGACCCATTTCTGGCACCCGCGGGGTCGGGGGAGGGAAGCCAAAGCATCCGGCGAACGATACTGGACAGTGTATGCACAACACTCGCGCGGCTGGCTGGGCGCAGCGCTGGGGGGACGGCACCGGTGTTCATTGTGTTTGCGGGGGAGATATTCAGCTGTCGGGCGGGGGATATACGGCTGTGGAGGCTGGACAGGTTCCGGTACCATGAGTCACCTGGCTGGCGACCGTCCCTTGCACGGAGGAGGAAACGGGCCTTGAATGATGAATATCCTACAGACTACTGCAACGCGCGGTACCATACCGGCTCGCGTGGCTCCCTCCCGACGCTGCGCCAACTTGATTCGCTTTCGCTCCAACTCATTCCAGCGTCCCATCACAGCTTTGTTTCCTCCGGCAAGTCGGGATCTGATGCCTTCAGCATCCTCACATTCAACGCGTCTGACATGACCTACCTCCGGCTCGGCCGGTACCATTCTGGCGCGCACCCTTCTATATTCCCCCGCCTCAGGCGCCTACTGCCATGCCTCGTTCTCCCCGAACTGCGGGCGCTCTGCATCTACGACGAATTCATCCCGCCCGCCGCCCTGCGCGCCTTCCTCGTCGCACAGATAAAACTCGAGCTGCTCGACTACCACGCCCCGATCAAGGCCTTACTCTCCCCCCGGCCCGCCGAGCGCCGGCCGGACCCGGCCCGTCCTCTTCTCTCCGCCCCGCTCGCGCACCCGACCCTCAACTCCGTCCGGCTGTGCACGACCCACTTCCGGACGAGCGCGGGCCACATCCTCCCGCAGCTCGTCGCCGGCCCGCGCCTCACCTTCGTCGAGCTGCTGTTCAGCGCCACGACCCTCGGCGCGCGGGCGGGCACGATGATCGCCGACCTGCAGGCGCTGGCGGGCCGGGACCCCGCGCTCCCCCGCGTCACGCTGAACCTCGTCGACTCGGCGCCGTCCGGCTGGGACCTCTCCGGCCGTCTCGGCGCACTCCGCCGGCGTCTGCAGCTGCCCCGCCGGCCCGCTGCGCCGCGCTGCTGGGCCGAGACCCCCGGCGCGCTCGCCGTCGCGCCCGCGCTGCAGTGCGTGCACACCGTGTGGGTCGCGCCGCTCTCATACGCAGCCGCGACGCGCATCCTCCCGTTCCTCGCGCGCCTCCCTGCGCTCGCGCACGTGTCGGTCGGGTTCACCGTCAAGCATCTCGACCCGTGGGAGCACCGGCAAGACGGGCGGCCGTGGGCCGTGCTGCCGGGCCGGCGCCGGAAGAAGACACGCGCGGCGGTCGAAAGAGCGGTGGAGCGGTATGTGTACGAGGTCGTTCGGAAGGGCCTGCCGAACGTGCCGTCGGTCGTGCATGTCGTGTGGTAAGGCATGGCTTGTGATACGTGCTGCCAGTTGGCTGACGTCTTCGCAGGGACTGAAATGCTCGACAAGATTTAACCCGAGATAAGATAACAAGTCTTGTGGGGACAGGTTTTCTGTTTTCTTTTGTAATATTATGCCTGAAAATAGTGCTGTCCACAATTATATTATGCCAGACTATATTCTGAGTATAATCAATTAAATATGATTATAATATGCCTTCTCCATAATCATCCATGAAAAGATGATTATGATTAAATATGATTATAATTACATTATGCCAAGGTCATATTTATATTATATTTTGATGGTATCAGGCCCATCAACTCCTTACAAATAATCCATTTTCAGTATTTTTCACCTATTACAGAAATTCAGGATGTGAGAATAAGAACTGAGAATAAGAACTGTTGATATTCTCCAGTCAGTTAGAAGCAGCGAGAAGCAAATTTGGTCAAGTTGGCAGGATTTGATCAGATCATTTGATTAATATAGTTCAATGACACATTATTTTATATGAACCTTTTATGAATACCAGCCATTGTAAGATATCATGGAGAGGTAAAAAGTCTAATCTCAGCCAATTGATATACATTTATAGTGTTACAAGTGGGCCTAAAATAATCAATTATATTCTGAGTATAATCAAATATATACTCAATGATTATGAGTATAATATGATTATGGACAAAGACTATGATTATGATATGGATATGAGTATATTATGAAGATTTCATAATTATATCCATAATTGGACAGCACTACCTGAAAACAGAAGAAAAGTGGAACTTTTCATGCGCTCAGGAGTCAGGACTACATATAGTTCATTTCAATCAATTCTGCAGGCCTGTGACATCCTCCCCCCCCCCCCTTAATAAGAGGGTGGGCAAACACTGACACATGTGTAAGGGGAGCATGTGATGTGACTGATCACGTGACTGGTCCGTGCGCAGATAGCCCTGTACTTAAGTAGTTGGCTGTGGGGCTGTTCCCCCGGCTTTGGTATCAACTAGGCACCTGGACCCTCATCCCCTGACAGCATACCAAAGCCTCTATATCAACTCTGGCACTCTTCTAGCCCCAGTTGATCCTCTCTATCTCCTATATTCGTCCTCACCCTACTGTGCTTGCCTGCTCTCCCCCAATGACGACTCCTGGTGTCCCTGTCGACCTGTATTCGTACTGCCTGCTCCTGCAGAGCGAAATTACTCGCCTCACCGACTGTCTAGACCGCCTTGAGTATGGTACGCCTGCTCCACCCCCTGCTCCCCCTTCCCCTGGTCCTACATTCCATGGTGTCTGGGACGGCACTCGCTGGGTTCTTCCAACAGTCCCGGCCCCTACCCCTGCTGTCATTGCTGCTGCCCACACTTCTATACCACTTGCCGAAACCTTCCCTCCTACTGCGCCTGACACTGTCACGCGCTTCCCTTTGTACGCTTGTGGTGCCTGACTCGGCTGTCGGGCATATCGTGGGTCGTGGCGGCAAGGGTCTCCACCAAGCTCACGACACTTCCGGTGCTCAGTTGCGCGCATACTCTGATCGCGCTGCGCCTGGTGAGCGCCGGGTCTCTATCCGGGGAACCGACCAGCAAATCGGTGAAGCGCTTATTGCGCTTGGGAAACGGTTCATGCATAAGCGTGTCCGTGCGAAGAAGCAACGTCAGCCACCGTCTGCTGAGGGACCTGCCCCCCCCTCCTCCTTCGACCGAAAGCTGATGGCTGATTTGAGCCTCAAGCTTCTTTTTGACAGAGCTTGAAGAGTTCACTGGTGGCAAGCCGGTGATGTTCTCCTTGTACATTGCGTCCTGTAAACAATGAAACAAGCCATACACTAAGATATGAAAGTGACTTACCACAATGTTGATCTTGAGGGTGCTGTCCGCGCTGTAAAACGTGACACTGTAAAACGTGACAGAGGGATTCAGTAGGAAGGCTCGACTGAAGTTTCGAATATCACCCTGTCATTGATTCAGTGTGAAGGCCAACAGTAAACACAGATGACGCACACTCAGCTCAGAGTTCCGTTCAAACTCTTGGGCCTTTGCTGCTTTAAACTGAGCATTCATTTCGTCGACCTTGTCGATGAGCTGAAAGACCGCAAGGGCTTCCAAGTTTTGACGCTCGTGGGCATTCTTCGTCTGCAACATGGTCAGCGCGGGATCAGATGACAGAAGGAGCATATATTGCACGGCGCTAAGTTGACGGTAATCTCTTTCAGAAGCGGTCGCAAGTTTGACACGCTTAAGCTGGCATTCAGCGAAAGCTGTCATATCCAGGACCGCGCCAGATGCAGTGGATTGCCAAAGCAGCTGGGAAACTGATGGAAGTTGATCTTCCGACTCGGGAACGGGTGACGATGGTCGATTGATTGGTGGGCTCGATGGTGGCAGACTGATATTACGACTTGGAATGGATTGGAGGTCGTCCTGTTGGTCGGGAGTTTGGGAAGGTGGATGTTCGGCAGCAGCTGCTGCTGCGGCACGCTTGGCTCGTCTGCGCTTGAGAAAGGTTGATATGGTGAGCAGAGGTGGAGAAGAGAGGTGGAGAGGTGTGACTGGTCATATTCGCGCTTTTATCGTCGCGTGTCAAAGCACTGTGTCACAGTGTTTCTGGTCCAGTCCAACGTGCAACGACACCATGGCAAGACAGAAGACCTGGACAGTGCCGGAAGGTGAGTACGCTGCTTTTGGTTTGAGATTATTGCTTACCTGTGGATAGACGAACAGAGACATATTGAAGAGCATCCCACCGACGCGACTTATGTATCGTGCAAAGTGTGCCACGCGTTTGGCCACTCAAAAAATGACTATATTCAGCGTCGAAACCTCAGACAGCATATTCAAGGATCAACGCACTGTGCTTGTGTCGCCACTTCCTTGGCAAGAGAGCATCAAGAAGCGGAACAACAGGCCCGAGGAGCCAGAGCATACGAGGCTCCCAACGTTGAGCTTCCCGAATGGATTGCACAGCCAGCTCGTACTCATGCGCCACCCATGATTCCCCACCCAGATCCTGTGGACGAAAGAATGAGCAACTATCAATATATTGCGGACACACTCGCTCACTAGGAAATCGAGCAAGAGCGAACTCGACAGCCTGAAATATCACCAGAGGAAATGAGGATTCGACTCGATAACGAATTCGAGCGTATCTTGGGCAAAGCACTTGCGGCAGATGCGGAAGAGGATGACGAAGATGAGGCACTCGAGTTCGAGCAGCAACTTGAAGCGGAGGCCGATCGGTTTGAGCCCTCTGGTAATAAATCGAGCTGCTTTCCATGGCCAAACGAGACGGTATGTGAAGTCCTGTATGCATTGCATGTGTTGATTCAAAGGCAGACACTTCGATTGGATGTTATGGACAATCTGGGTCATTGTCGATTCACGAGCGCGCAGATATCGCTGATTCTGCATATCATGAAGCGGCTGGGGGTCAAGGATGTCCCTTTGTTGAAAAGCCTTCGGAAAACTCAGGCAAGAGTCCATGACGAGTTTCAAAACGCACTAGTCAAGATTGTCTCCGCCCAAGGAAACATATTCTATCAATTTCTATGTCACCAATCTTCGCCACACCATCGCCCGCAACTTTGCCAATCCACTCGTTGCCCCCCATCTGAGTCTCTACCCTGAGGAGGTTGTTAATGGGCTAGTTTCGGAAAGATGGCAGGCGGAACGCGCCTTGGATTACACGCCTGAGCAGCTGACACCAATGTTTTCGGATGGTCGGTGCCGCTGGTGGGCAAATGAAGTCGCTCCCTTGCATGACGGTCGGTTTGTCATCCCCATTGCCTGGATTGCACGGCGAGGAAGGCTTATAGTGGATGCGCTGCTCGTTACTCGAGTCTCTGATGGGGACCGGTGGGAGTGTCGAGGGAAAGAAGAAGAGATTGATGTCAGCCAATTACAGGCTGACTTCGATGATCTCATCACGGAATTCGGTCCTGAATTCACTTGGACCGCTGAATTGCAGGAATTTGTGCCAGCAATGCCAAATCCTTACCGAAAGCTCAGCGGAGACCGTGATCTATATGTTGTTGGGGTGACCGTGTGAATCGACGACGTTTCAGGCAATAAATCCAAGCAGTACAACAAGTTCCTTGTGATGGTTATGCAAAACATGTCGCTGCCCAGTGTCCTTCTCAAGCAAGAGTTCCATGTCCACTTCTGTGGGGCATCGCAACATGTCACCACAGCCGAGTTGAATGCAGTGCTTTGGGACTTTGTCCAGGGTACCGAGCGCGACCCAATTATTTGCTTCAATGCATCCACCCATTGCGAGGCTGCCGTGATCATTCGTGTGCATGACAAGAATGCAGACAATCCTCAACAATCGGAGGAGGCGAGCCACATTGGGTGCAATGGAACCCATCCATGCCGAAAATGCAAGTGGGGTGGGTCGAAGATTAATCAAGTCCAAGATGCTGTCTATCATGCTTGCCATAGTCCCAGCATTGCTCGAACCGCAGATGAAATTCGAGCTGAGCTACATCATCAACTCTCCCTCGCAGCAAAGGGCAGTGCTGCAGCCATAGAAACACGCCAGAAGGAGACAGGGACCAAGGATAAACTCACCCAGTATTGGATTGAGCGGACACTTGAACGAGTATCCCAGTTGAAGAGTGAGAATCCGAGGAGTTCCGCCAAAACAATTGCCATGGAAGCACAGAATTGGCTAGCAGAGCAGCCCGGAGACAAAATGAATCCATTGCTTGATATAATTGGCCTCGATCCGGCTCGTGACATGCCGATAGAGATCCTCCACACTGTCCTGCTTGGTGTTATTAAGTATATTTGGCACCATCTGAACACACAGAAATGGACCGATGCAAACCGGCATCTCCTTGCCATCCGTCTCCAATCAACTGACATCACCAGCATGAATATCCCGCCAATTCATGGGGCGTATATGATTCAGTATCGCAACAATCTGATTGGGAAACACTTCAAGACGATTATGCAAGTACTCGTGTTTCACATTCATGATCTCTGCATGCAAGAGCAATTTCAGCTTGTCAAGGCGGCAGCTGATCTTGGTGCACGCGTCTGGGTATCGGTCATCGACAACATGGAAGAGTACATTGCAGATCTCAAGACCGCCATCGCAAACCTCCTCGATGCATGGGACAGTGTTGAACCCCTCAGGATTCTCACCAAAATCAAGCTTCACCTCCTTCCCCACCTTCCTGATGATATACAGCAGTTCGGCCCGGCTGTGCGATTCTTGACAGAGACACAAGAGTCGTATAATGCCGTTTTTAGAATGTGCTCAATCAATGGTAATCACCAAGCACCCAGTTGCGATATCGCAGTCAAGTTTGCAAGCATGAATAATGTGAAACACGCACTCTGTGGTGAATGGTGGGAATCTGCCGCCACAACAACGGAGGCTCAGGAGTGGGTTCAACCAGGTGATGGAGTCAAGAAACTTATGCTTGATGATTCGGTTCTTCAGCGACATCTTGGCTGGGTGACTCATTGTGCTCCGGTTCCTGGATTTGTCCGCCTATTGGGGTTGGAAGAGTTTCCCGCCAAGCCGTGGCACCAAACGATCGCATCACAACACTGGAAGACAGGAAATCAGCCTATTTCGGAAGGCATGTGGCGTGAAGGACTTTCCGCCACCTGTAAAACGGGAGATGCTGTCAAAATCAATGGGTGGGCCTTTGTCCGTGAGTCAGAAACCAAGGTGGCGCTGGGACAAGTCACCGAAATTCTCTTGGGACACAATGGCCAGGCCTGGATTTGTCTTCAGCAGTTTGTCTGCACTGAAACACGACACCCCGAATTTGATTGGCTGGTTGTACAGCCACCGCTTGGGCACAAGATTGTCGAACAACAGCTGACATCATTCCTTGTGGTTCCCGGAACTGCAATGGAATTTAGCTGTTCAGTTCAACATGACTGCCGGATGGGACACTGTCAGCCAGCCGTTGTTGCGAAGGAACGGCAAGAGCGCCAAGACACCACACGAGACATCAGCTTGGTCAGACATGGTGATGACGAGAATTTTGTCTTGAATTTGGGGTCTGTGCATAACTTTGTAGAACTCACCCGGGTCCTTCCACGCAATCTCTGGAAGCTCAATGCACTTCACGACAATCACTTACTGTTTCACACTCAAATGGCTGTCAAGGCAAGAGCTTCTCGCTTGATAGCCCGCGAGAAAACAGCGGAGAAACAACGAGCAACAGCTGCAAAGAAGAAAGAGCAGGCAGAGGAGGCTGCCCAGAAAGCACAGATGGTTGATAGTGATGGGTCTGAGTCCGACTTATCAGAGGAACATTCAGAGGTGGATGATGAAGATTTTGTTCTGAAAGGTGTGGGGCGGAAACGGGCTAGGAATAATGCAAAGGGAACGGATGGTATGACAGGGAAGCGGTTGAAAAGGGGCTAGGGAACTGAACATAGCCAGCATGAAACATATTATTTATTAATGGACAATATTCTCTGCCCCTTGAGGTCCCACTATAGTACTCTGAAAATATCAAACAAACTTTCTTGGGGATATTATATTGAGGTTGAATTAAGCTTATCCTGATCATATGCCAAAACATCATTCTGACACTCTATATATGTTGTTCTGATGTCTGGCAACTATATCACCTGAATGTCCATGCCAAATCTCAACCTGATGTATGCTGGGGTTGGTGGTGTACTAGGTGCATCTGGGGATCTAGCTCGTCAAATCTATCTTGCTAGCTCTTTCGAAATAGTATCATCGTGTCGGAAGGATTATTGGTTGAGGGTTTCGGTTGCTGAATACAAGAGTTCCGGTTGCTGTTTATTGGGTTTCGGTTGCTGGTCGAGAGTGCTTAAGATCGAGGGATTCTTCACAAGCAAAACTAGATGGTCGTGAACACGGAAGATTTACACAGGTCATTGACACCGATACATGTGATACCAGTCATCTGGACCTGGATCTTCGACTCTGGGCCATATGGCGAAACGATACCAATACAATTATGCGCATGGACTACTTTTCTTACTCATGATTTTCCCTGATTCTATCAATTTCTGTTTAGTATTTATATCTCTGTTTTGTATTTGGCAGATTCACAGATTGCCCCGCTCTACTAGGTGCATCTGGGGATCTAGCTCGTCAATTTATCTTGCTGGCTCTTTTGAAATAGTATCATTGCGTCGAAGTCTTTATCAGTTGAGGGTTTCAGTTGCTGAATACAAGAGTTCCAGTTGCTGCATATTGGGTTTCGGTTGCTGTTCAAGAGTTTAAGGCAGTTAGTTCCTGATCCAACAAGTATAAACTCTCCGGGCATCGTATTGGCGCTCCTCTATTGCGGAGTTTCGTCAATAGTATGCTTTGGGGCACACAAAATCAACGTTTTTCACAAGAAACTCGTATCTACCCTACAGCCTTACACATCTGTGCCAAGGCTCTGTTCACAGGGGCCTGTTCTCGCACAAGGAGTTGACGATTTTTGGGTTTTGTGACTTTTCCTACTCGACATTATACATCTTTCTCTCTCTATGAAAAGTGGAGTTTGGTTGTTTTTGTTGGTTTGGTTAGTTAGAGAGCTCATTTGCTGTCCACACTCCACACTCATCACCGGTATGGTAAGGGGGGGGGAGAGGGGGGGGTCCCAGAAGGCCCTTGAAATTTTTTTGATGGTATATCTGATTTTTGAATAATGACACCCCCTTGCTCCCGATGTGAGTCTGTGATGCCACTCAGGCCTTCTGCACTCTACGTCGGCAGCTGTGGACAACCAGTCCCTAGCAGGCAGACCCTTAGGGTTTCTTCTCTGTGGATCCTCCCCTGCTAGGATTCTTGTCAGAGCCTCTGGGTTGCCCTTACATTGTGCCACAATTCACTTATAAATAAGTGCAGCGCCGAAATAGTTTATATAAAAAAAACAGAAGAGTGAAATATCATGGGAATCTTACTGACTTCAGAGCTGAATCATGGTAATAACCCTTGGTGATTGTTGTAGTTGTTGTTTTAGCCTACAATCAAGGCGGAGGGAAAAAGAAAATTAACGAACATATGCACTAAAGAAGTTTTAGGGCTCACAGCTGGACCGACCGACCGTGACATGTGTGACAATTGCCTATTTAGGCAGGTATTCCACGATTGACTCATGTGGAAATAGTGCTCACAAACTATTATAAACCAGGATGGGCACAGAGAGGTTTCGGACCGGTATATAGTTTCAGTTGACATATTCTGTGTCAATGAAGTCTGAGGTAGCTCCGCAGTCGACAAGACCTGAGAGGGAGAGCTTGAGCGCATTTGCAGTGGACTCAAGTTCTAGGGGGAGGTGGAGCGAGTCAGCCCCAGGCGCGGCGGAGATGGTATAGCTGCCAGTTAGCCTTTTCTCCCAGGCAGGTCAGCGAATCCGAACGGGGGCTTCGGAGGGGGTAGGGGTGTGTCTTTCATTTCAGGCTCGTTGTAGGGCAGAGGAGTTGATTCATCATACAAACAAGTGAAACGATTTATGGATGCAAACAAGGGCATACCATTACTTGTCGCAGGGGGAAAATCCTCTACTGGAACCTCTGAATGCGCCTCTTCTCAGCTGGAACACCTGGTGCAATGCGCAACATCTTGGTTATAACCCAAAAGTGCAATGCACAACATATGGGATCTAACCAAGTCTTCTTCAATGCAAGAATTACTTTATTTCATTTTTATCTTTTTGACTGTTTTGGTGTCTTATATCATGTATATAGTGATGGGATCAATGGTCCTTGTGTAATCTATTGTGTGTGGAACCATTTTTGCAAGAGATCATTGATTTTGATGACTGTGTGATCTTGCATCACTCCCACTCAATTTGATATTGATATTCTCTTTCTGCTCTATTAAGTCCATAATATTACATATCGAATCATTAGCCTGAAGAAAAGGTGATTTACCTTCTATATATATATATATCCTGCGTTCCCATGTGATAACCCGCGCTCTCCAGCTTAGCAAGCGCAAGTAAATTCATAAATAGTCTTAAAAACATCTATTGCTGTTTATGTTTGTGTATCCATCTCATTTAAAAGGCTCATGGGCAGTGCCTGTGGCGGCCTATGTCCAAATATGGGCATGTGTTTGCATCCGTGTCTGATTCGAGAAGACCCGATGTCAATCATGACATCCCGTGTATTCCGAGCGGCAACAACGATGGGGGTGGTTGGACAGGATGTAGGACCTAGGCTGAGAGTAGCAGAGAGATGTGGATATATTGAGCCATAAGTATGTGTTCAAAAAGCTATTAGAATTGGTATAATACCATAAGCTTAAAGCCATTGAAAATCTTGATAAACAGACACAAATTTAAATAGTTCGAGCCCTAGATGCATATGCACTGCTCAATATTACTCTAGCGAGCAGCCATCTGGGCAGAACTACTCTCGTCCGCCATTATCCTCCCATCGTCCCTCAGTTCGCTGCTCACCAAATCTCGATATCATTCACCAGTTGTGGCCGGGGCGCCTTTTGTGCTATCAACGACAACGCACGCACACTCCTCGAAGCAGATATTTGTGGCAGCTGAAGGAGACACTGCTGAAACCATTTGTACACTGTACAGAGTATGTTAGGTTTTGGAACCGGCATGCTGAGTTTATATACATAACTGATGTTGGTAAGGCGAACATGTCGCAAGCAGAAAGATGACAACTTATTACAGTACAAAAGGACATTGATTTCCATCTCCGGCACTTTGTGCAGCCATATTCACACCCACCGCTGGACGACGACCGCGCCACCCACCTTCGCCGCCTCAATGGTCTCCGCATCGTTTTCGAGGATACGGTTCGGGAAAGTCGTACCGATAGTGTACGCACGCGTAAGGTTCTCCGGGCGGGAGCTGGCGATCGCATTATGACCGGTCCCCAAGCAGAAGTGATTACGCACGCATTGATAAAGCTCCTCAAATCGCCAACAGTGTGCGTCAAGTTCATGCGGCACACCATGCGCGTGCCGTCCGCTAGCCTGATTTGGACACTCGTCATAGGGAGGGATTGATTCACTTCGAAGCGTGTGTGGATGCTCGCGGCACTGCGGCCTGTTGGTTCGCTGCTGCTGTCAGCGGCAGCAGGGGTTGCGGCCGCACTCGCGGGTGTTGGTGCACCGAGGCGGTTGCCAGTGCCAGAGAAGGGCTTGACTTTGGGCGGAACCCAGTCCTCGTCCGTGCGGCGCTGGACCTGCACGTCGACGGGCTGCCCGGGAAGGACGTTGAGAATTGACAACGGAGCTTCACTGTGAAGGGTGAGGAAGCAACCAAAAGAGAATGGTGGAGGGCACACCCTGCATCGATTGCCCGGAGGATATTCGCATTGGCAGGGTCGTCGTATCGTCTCAGCTCTCCCTCCTCCGTACCCTCCCCCGCATCTACCGTGAAGCCGGTGCGCCAAAAGGTGAGTCTACGGACAACCACAGGACCCTCTGCATAAGCTATCCGTTAGCATATACGGAAGAATGTAGAAAACAGACACACCATCTTCTGCCCCTGGCACACTTGCCCCACCCACCGTATTCCCAGCCCCACCAAATGCGCCCGACCCAGAGCCACTGGCACGGGCAGCACCCTCCCTGAAAACTTCCTCAGAGCAAGTCGACGAAGAAGCAGTCACTCACCTTTCCGCCTTCCGCAGCAGGTCCTGAACCAAGTTTCCGCCTCTCCCCGCTCCAGCATTCGGGTTCTGCACAGAGAGTCCACTGGAGGCACAAGTTAACAAGTCCCAGTCAAAGAAGGAGGATAGGACACGCACTTCCCCGCAAACCACGACTCCCGCTCGCCGTCCCTGTCCTCTTCGTCCCCGTCGCGTGCGCTAAAGTGTCCGCTCATGGTCCAGCACTATGGGTCCGAATCCCCGATCGTTGTGCAGTAAGGTACGTGCGTGTGTGTCAGCGTGCGGAATGGCAAGTGCGATTGACGACGATGCGCGATGGGCGTCGTCTGCAAGGCTGATGACGCGTCACCATCACGCATACCACATAACGACGTGACGATTGCTGATCGGCGATCGCCGTGTATCCCCATTGGGCATCACTGTGCCAGGGACTGCAAGAATGACTCGACCAAGCAGCAGCATGGCGCAGATGGAAGCGCGCGGGGCCCATAACCCCGAGGTCACTCGATCGAGGCGAGTTGCTGCTATACATGTTCTGTATCCTCTTTGCGATGCCTTTTTTGCTTAGGCTTATAATTATCATGATGCGTAACATTTCGATGGGAGATATCATGGATGGCATGTGAACGCTACCAGGAGCATATAGCTGAGTAATCAATACAGAAAATATATTTTGAATATATTGTCCAAAATTCGGATACAAATAATCATACAATACGCATAATTGATGTTCGTATCATGACATATCATTTTGATAGGGTAAAAAGGGTGGCTTTTTGGGGTTTTATTGCATGTTCTGGGTTCCAATTGGCCACCTAAGTGAGTTTTAATTCAGTCTGCTCCTTCATATTGCTATTAGAGCCCACTCTAGACCACTTTATAACTCAAAATATGAATACGATATGCGGATTTGGCCCCAAAGATGATATGCATATGATATGATATGCCAAATCATGTATCATATCTGTATTTGGACAACAAGTGAGTCTGCGCAGTGGGCCTCTATGGCAGACAGCAGCCCGCTGCTGGTAGTGTGGGGTCTGGGGCAAAGCCATGGTTGCAACTGCAACCATGTCAAAAACCTGCATGCTTACTAATCAAAGACAATGAAATAGCCTGAAACAAGATCCCACGCTGTGTGGCTATTGTTGCAATTCCGCCCGCGCATGTGATAGTCCGTATTCGGACTGTGGAGCAAAATGACGCTTGACAGCGGGTGTGAGCGTGATCCGTGCAAGGTCACACACGGTCACCATTTCCTCTCCCTTCCAAAGCCATGTCGCCACCCAACCCGCGTTCTCTTCCTCGCCGGCTGGGCTACGATATTGACAACCCGCCAAAGCGCTGCCGAGAGCCGGACTGTGGGCAGCCGCTTCTCCTCAAGCACTGCGATAATCCAGCAAAAAAAAACTATGGCTGCTGGTATCTCGCGGTGCGGCAACGCGTTTCTCTAATATTGACTTTGCTAATCATCATTCAAGTGTTCCGACTTTCACTTCCACTCAACATTTCCTCTGGGTGTTGCCCCCAGCTCCACCACCACCCACTCCAGTGACGATGACGAGAGCGAGGACATACAAGCCACTGAATGTGCTGCACGACGCTGCCACAAGACCAAAGTCAGCGAGGAATGCAAGAACAAGAAGGGGCGCATGTGCGCTGCCTGCTGCCGCGCAAATGGCGGTTGCAGTCGGCGTGGCCACACCTCACCGCGTAGCCTCGGCCTCTCGTGCTGTCAGCAGCCCAGTCAGACTTCCAGCCTCGCCACAGCGCCTACACCTTCTCACTGAATCCTTCGACGACCTCGGACCTATCCTTGGCTGGCACCCCAACGAGGCCCTTGCAAAACAACGTGCTACCGCCAAGCAGCGTGAAAACGAAGCTGTTGCCCACCTTCCCATCGTTGATACCCCGTCGCCCTCGCCAGAAACCTTTCCCATTCCTACCTTCGACACCATCATCGTCACTTGGCACTCTAGCGGCACTGCTCCCCATGTCCAAGCCGTCCAGAATCTCACAGACGGTGCTCGCTGGCGTTGGCAGGCTCAAATACGCCGCTATGAGTCATACTCAATTGACTATGGCTGCTGGATTGAAGTTGCAGCTAACTATGAGCACCGGGTTCGACGTGGTCAGCCAGTATTCATTCGGAACCTTGGGATACGCTGCCAGGACGAAAAGGCCACCATTTCACGATTTGCTGCTGTCTCGGGATGTGGCGCGCCCAGAACGGAGGTCATCGACATTGACAACGATGACATTGAAGACGCGAATACCTTCATGCCGCTTGCCGTTGGTCCAAAAAAGTTCCATGCCCGCCACAACGATGTCATCGAGATCAGCGACTCCGAAGACGATAGTGACGCAAAGCCCCCGCTTCGCAAACGGCCACGATTGGAGCGCTTGCATATCGATTCGTTCTCCCCAACACCATCCACACCACCCTTGACTTCCACAACATCCACAACATCAAGTGTGTTCTCCTCCTTCCCTCCTTCACCTTCGTAGTTTATTTACGGCCACTTTATGATACAATAGGAAGTCGTTATGATACATATAGTAGATTTGTCACCTTGTAGCTTTTCGTTAATTCAGAATGTGGATATCAGCTGCGCCGCTTTCTTTCGTGCACCAATGGATATGATAGTCTGCCCTCAACCTCGCCATGCCCAAGGAACAACTCTGCCGCCGGAATGGCTTCTCGCTGGGCAGCGTCTTGATGAATCTACACTTTGGCAAGAAGATGCTGGGCTCGCTCTTGACCGCTATAAACCTCGCAATAGGCTCGCTTCTCCTTCACCTCCGCCTGTACAACCTCTCCTACTACCCCAGCACAGTCAGGCAACAATGCTAGGGTGTTCTTCCTTCCGTGTCCATCTCGCAACTCCCATTGGCACCGATAATCAACTTGCAAGCTTGCACACATTTCGTATCAACACCCAAACAGCAACCCCAGGGGACAAGGCAATAGCACACCAAACCTCAAGATCTACCTATGAGTATGATATCGCACAGCAAACCTATAAATACTGCTGGGACTCATGGATTGACTTTCAAAACTTTCTTGACGACGAAGAGCAATCAACAGGAATTCAATTTGCGCGGAAGGAGAAGTGCAACAAAACAAATGCTGGGACCATCCGAATGCGCTATGTCTGCAGCCGAGGGGGAACTGGTGGGGAAAAGATGTACCAGAAGAAGCATACCAACCGCAACTCTCTGAAGCCGCGCAAGATTACTGGGTGTGAAGTTGCCCTTGTTGTGAAGGTGTACGAGGGCACATCTCGCATGCTCGGGTGGGTATACAACGAGCACAACCACAACGACGGTGTCAATAACCTTCCATTCACACGAATACCCCAGACCATTCGCGAACTCATTGCTGGACATGTCCGCAACGGGCTGCCAGCCTCAATGATCCTCAAGAAGCTGCACAAAGGTGTCTACAATCCGCACAAAGGTGTTACATCTCACGCTATTCGGCAACATTTCCTGGAGCTGGCCGATATTCATCGAATCAAGAAGCGCATTGATGAAGAGAGTATCCGCAGGCACCGCGATGACGGCGAATCCACCCTGGCGCATGTCCAACACCTACGGCAACACGACGCAGTACTATTCTTCAAGTCGCGTGCTGATCCACCGCCAACAAATTCACATCTCGAGGCTGACTTGTTCTTGCTCATTGTCCAGACGCAATGGCAACGGGAGATGTTCACGAAATACGGTAGCAACATTTTGTGCATCGATGCTACACACAATGTTACAGTTTATGCCAACCTCCTTCTTACAACACTTGTCGTGCGGGATAGATGGGGACATGGCATTCCAGTCTCGTGGATGTTGGCTTCAAAGGGCACCGAAGACACAATCTATTTCTTTCTCAAGACCCATCACGCACGCAATCCGACCATTACCCCTCGCTACATCATGTCCGACTTTGACCGTGCACAAATCAACGCGTGCAAGCATCAATACGCGTCAGCAGTCATATTACTCTGCTGGTGGCATGTCCTCCGGGCCTGGGCAAAGCATCTGATCAAAGCTAGTCATCCAGACGTGTGGGACCTCTTGCAGAAACTTCTTCGGCTTACAGACCCAACTGAGTTCAACGTTCTATGGGAGAAGATTCGAAACATTGCACCAACCTCATTTCTTTCCTCGAGGTGCTCTCTATGTGGTCTGGTGTCTTTCGAACCGAGCGGACAATTTTTGAACATTGCGACACCAACATGCTTGTCGAGGCCTGGCATCATCTACTGAAGACGCACTTCCTGCTAGGCAAGCGTAATCGGCGCATGGACTTCCTTCTTCACACACTGGTCCAAGATGTTGTTCCCTTCTTCATTCGCAAAGCAGCATCTCTATGAAAATGGGTTCAAGGGTGACGATCTGGAGACAGTCAAGCGTCGAGATATCATTGAGCGCTCATCTGCCTTCACTCTCAAGGACATTGAGGTATGATTGTCTATCTTTTGTTGACCTATTGATCTTATACAGCAACAGCCTCAGGCCAATGGACTGTACTTTGTGGCATCAAAATCACGCCCAGTCAAGTATACTGTCGATCTTGCACTGGCTACTTGCACCTGCGCCGACTACCCTCTGCTCAAATTTTGCAAGCATCTCAATGCTGTCGACACACTTATTCAAGATCGTCTAGACCTTCCTCTGCCAATCAAGCTCTCGGCACAACCTCCCATCTCCCCTGCACGGCGACTACCTCTATCCACTGCCACACCACCTATGCCCAAGGCTCACCCCCGTTTGACACGCATGCAGCAGCAGCTACAAGTGCTGTCTGCTCGTCTTGAAGCTGAGATAGACACAACTCTTATAGCTGACCCAAGCTTTGTTGAACTTGAACAAGCTCTGGACAAGTTGGTTCTACGGACATCAGACCACGCGGCAGCGGTTCTGCCTCCCAAGCAGAGGATCCCTCCCAATCAGAAACAGTGGCCTTTGACAAGGAACGCCATGCTTCCACCTGCCAAAAACAAGTCGACAGGCAAAAATCAGCACAAACGAAAGCATCGGCACAGCTCCGGGTCCGAGGGTGCCCAGGCTGATGGTGGGAATACCGGAGGCGGGCAGGGGAGAGGCCGCGGTGGGCGTCGGGGCGCGTGATAATTGATGACTACATACATATGACTACACCGATCACGATTGACTTCCGTGGCATCCGCTCCACTGGACTCTATTGTTCCCAAATTGGTATATCACATGGAGGGGCGGAAATTCCGCAAGTCTGTGTGGCAGTGTGTGCAGCAGAAGCCCTGGTAGGGTGGGTCCATGGCAAAGTCCCTGGTTGCCGGTCAGGCTTCGGGGTGGAAAATCCAGGCTGCTGCCCGCAACCATGTCAAAAAGCTGCAGGCTTACCAATCAAAGACAATGAAATAGCCTGAAACAAGATACCATGCTCTGCGCAGCGGGCCCCGCAGCAAGCAGATAAGCGGAAGACCCCTGCAGGGTGGGTCCAGGGCAAAGTTCCTGGTCAGGGTCCAGGGTGGAAAACACCGGCTGGTGCCACAGCCCTGTTGATGTGATGGTTGTCGATCTATCAACTGGAGTTGATATGTGGGAAGCAAGTCCCATTCTGGGGCCGCGGAAGTAGGACTGGGACCCATCAAAGTAGGACTGAGTCTGTCTAGAGGGGGGACTGACTGACCATCCCTGTTATCACTTTTTGACATGTGACACCCCTTGTAGCCAACTACTGTGGTTGGTAGAGATGTGAAATACTTGAACATTAGGAAAATGACAAAAGGTCTAATGCAACTTACTGTAGCATTTTATTCAATTCAGTAATCATAGGTCACACTGGGCATCTGGCGCCGAAATATTTCGGTGTGTCACAGGGTGGTGGCCCAGGTGCCAAATGCCAGATGGACATCAGCATATCAAAAAAAAAATTCTCGCGGCCTCCAGGCCGAAAAATTTTCGGCCGTCACACAAATGACCTGGCACTGCCAAAATTTTAATTTCAGTGCCAATGTCACAGCAAAAATTGGTGCCGAATTGAATAAAATACTACAGTATTAGACAGTTTGCGATGAGCCACCATAGCCACCTGGTGGCTGTGGTTTCTCAGCAACCAGTCAATTGACTCAAACCATATTTATAGGCTGTATATCCCTTTGTGATGACAATATTTTGTGCAAGTTTCATAAATTTTCATTCAGAACCTTTTGAGAAAATAACAAATTACTGAGCCACCAGAGCCACGGTGGCTCATTGCAAACTCACTACTGTAGTAATTTATTCAATTCGGCGCCCCAAAATGGTGTGACATCGGCGCCAAAATTAAATTTTCGGTGCTGCCTGTCGATGTGTGTGACAGCTGAAATTTTTCGGCCTATTTAGCAGCCTGGAGGGCCGCCAAAATTTTTTTGATGCTTTGATGGGCATTTGGCATTCGGCATCTGGCTGTGGGCCCGTGACACGCCGAAATATTTCGGCGCCGGAGGGTGTAAGGGCAACCCTGGAGACTCCGACGAAAGCCTAGCAGGGGAGGATCCAAAGCGTGAATAAGAGCTACGGAAATACACGGAGGGACCGACCTGGAGGATCCAAAGAGAAGAAACTCTAAGGGTCCACCTGCTAGGGCGCCAACTATATACTGGTCGTCCGTAACTGCCGACGTAGAGCGCAGAAGGCCTGAGCGGTGTCGCAGGCTCTGTCCCAAGGTGATCGTTGGGAGGGTCTTGACGGATCGGTGATTGTGCGGGCGAAGGAGGCCGTGGACGATGGTCGGGGTGGGTCGGAGCGTCCGAGGGGGCGCCGGTCGGATGCGCCTCGGATGCGTTCGGAGGGTCCGAAAGAGGCCGAAGCGGGGGTTCCCCTGACAGAGGGCCGGTGTGACACGTGACTGCCGAATTGAATAAATTGCTACAGTATTCTACTTGAAAAGACAAAAAAGTTTCAATAACACATCATAAGATTCATAAGACTCATAAGATCTTATGCATCTTATCTTAGCTAGGTCTTTTTCTAATATAAGTTGAATAAGATGAATAAGTTGTTCTAAGTCAAAAATAAGATATATAAAAGACAATTCACAAGCACCCATAAGACATTATAAGTAGTGCTGTCCCAGACCTTTGATAAGATCTTAAAGACATATAAGATGCATTGTATCTTAGAGACAGTCTAATTCATGTTAGAGGGCTGATATAAGTCCATGAGTTAAATAAGGTGATATAAGATCTTCTCTAAGACTCCTCTAAGATCTTGTCATTTTTCTGATGACAAGGAAAAGTCCTACGACTCTGGGACTAGAAATCAACAGAATTCATTGAACAGTTCTGAGGAAAATTCAACAAATAGCAATAGCCAACAAATGATAGCAAAATCTATGGGCTCAGATCCCACGACTAAAACATGGTGCAGTTGATTGCGATAAATCCCAGCCACCAGTTTGAGGGGATCCGACCTTTCGCTCGCCACGGCACGATACCCGAATGATTTGGATTGCATTTTCACAGGGACGCTCTTGGAACTGTAGATCGTGCTTCAACAGATAACCCACTCCTGCATTCCCGGGCCCGCTAAAAGCTTTTGCACCGCAATAAGGCATTCCTTTTCCGCCGGCTCTTCCGCTCCGTCCGCACGCATAGAATCCGCAATGGTGCGGAGGCGGCCGTGTACGTCGTCAGCGCCGGCTGCCCTGCGAATGGGCATAAGCAGCATCACGGAGGTCGACTCGAGCGAGCCGCCGGCCAGAACTGGACGACCCGCGACGAGCCCCTCAACGCCGCCCTGGCAGAGTCGGCGCTCGAGCTCCGAGCGTAAAGCCATCCCAGGCTCCGGACCGCTCGGGGCCGTAAAGTTCAGCTTGCCACCGGAATACATCAGCGCGACCTGGACGCCAGGCCGTTCAGGCGACGGGGAGCGCACAAGGCGCTGCAGCCCTTTGACGTACATAGACTCGCGGTGATGTGCGTAGTCCATACGGACAAGCGCACGGAAGAAGCGGCGGTCAATGGGGAGGAACAGCTGGTGTTCTTCTGGCGGATATGTAGGAAAATTCGTTGAGATGGTGGCGGTAAGGAATAAACAAAATACGTACCTTCGAACTGCTCACGCCACATAGAACAATCTTCACGGTGGCTCCCTTTGAGGAAATCTTCGTGTTGACACGCCTTCGAGCAGTAGTAGATAGAAAAGCACCCTCCGCACCGTTTGAACTCGTGGATTGGGCCAATTTTGGAGCACTGTACATGGTAAACACGGAATCCTCGAGCCTGGACATCGCCACTAACCTGTAAACCAGCGCAACCTGCCATACGCGGAGTGTCGTCCTGACGGAAGGCCGTATAGACTTCCATCCGCGCGGTCACCAGTGCGGTAAAACTGTTCCACGCCTCTATGAACTCGGGGGACGCCCGTCGCAGGACCCGAGGAGCAAGCGTATTTGCCTGAGCAAGAGACTTGTTCAACTTGGGGAGGATAGACGCGTAGAGTGTCCACTGCGGAAGGATTTCCAGGATCATCCGCAGAGCAGCTGCCCGCACTCGTTCGTCGGGGAAGAGTGAGTGCCCGAGCAGCATTTGGACGAGCGGACCACGGCATGCGTCCGCGAGGACGGCAACGTCGGGCGGCTGGGTAAGGAGTTGGATGGCGGGGAAGAAATACACGTCAAGGAGCGGGATCGTCAAGGCAGATGGCTGGGAGGCTGCGCTGGTCTGAATCGCGTGGGCGGTGCGCACGAGGGCGGGTGCAAGATCTCGTGCGAGTAGTGCGGACTGGAAGTCGGGGTTGTGCTCAGCAGCGCCATGCAGAAGCGCTTTCAACGACATAAGCTGCTTGAGAAGGTTGTGCTTGAGAGGCACGGGGTGCCTCACGATGAATGCAATTTGGATGATCACGAGACGCACCAGCGCGTTCCAGCTGCCTCCCGCCCCGAGCGCCAGATCCCTGATACTATCGGGCGGTACACCTGCAAGTAGGTCGCACACGTCTCCGAAAGCCTCAGGAAGCTCGTGATCATTGACCTTCGCCCATGCCCGCCCCACAAAAACCCATATCCCCGATGTCGGGGGCGGAGTGTTACCGGCAAACTCGCGGTAAATGCTTCCCAAGGCAGCCAGGAAGATCTCGTAGCGGTCCTTCATCGGGGATTTATTCCCTGGCTCCACAACCAGAGCATCGATATCATGGCAAAGCTTGTCAATGAGCGCGATCCAAAACCAGAGCCGGGCCCACAGCTCCCGCAGGGCCTCGAGAGGCACTCGGCCTTGTCCCATGTAGCGCGTCAAAATCGCCGTGATTCCTATGGCTGTTATCACCGCCCGCTCTAGCCGCTCAACGGCAGCCTGAGCTTCCGCGCTGCCAGGCCCGACACCTTGAAGGTGCGTTGGAATGGATTCGGCATGGGCCGGGTCTAATGCTGCCCAGTAAAGAGGCAGCGCCAGTAACGTGTCGAAATTCGGGCTCTCCGCGCCAGTAAAATGATGTGTGAAGTCTGCAAACTGGTCCACAGTGCCGCTCAGCGCAAGGCGCGCCCGAAGCTAACAATCCGTCAGCACAGCATCTAGTAACACTTCAACGGTACGGACACGGGGGTGCATTGGCAAACGATTCAGCTGTGTGAGGTGGAAGAGCTGGTGCATGATGGAGTGAAGAAAAAAAAAGGATCGGCAATGTGATTGATGTGACGGGTCATATGATGACGCCATTATTTTAAATTATTATTTTTTGGTCAGAGAGTTTAAGGGCATAAGCATGAACATTGTGACCCAGAAGTCAAAGCACAAATGGTCCGAACTCGAGGTCGCATTGTTTAAGGTTCGAACAAAGCGTACGCCGCCGGACCCAGCGCGCTTTGACCCAAGCCAACGTAGGTTGCCTATAAAATCGAGCAGAGCCCTGCGAGGAGTGATCATCCATCCACTCGTCAACCATGCTCGACTTCGCCCTGCGCCGCTTCCGCTCCACACCCGACATCCGCCGCGCTGCGCCCACCAGCGGCTCGGAGTCGGAGTCCTCGTCGCATTCCGCCCAGTCAGCGCCGCCGAAGGTGAAGAAGGATAGCAAAACGAAGACCAATAAACGCGGTTGGCTGACGCTGAAGCGCAGCAAGTCGCAGCATCGTGTGCCACCCATCGTGCGTTTATTGAGATGCGCCCCATTGCTGCGTTCACTAATAGGTCTTCCAGCCCTTCCGGACAGCTACGCCTCCCCCTCCCATCCCACAGGCTATACTCGAGCGCCGGATACTCGAGCACGCCTACGTGGAGCCCGTGCCACCCACGCCTCGTCTCGTCCCAGACAACAGTCTGCCCTTCGACTTGCAGGCCCCTGGCCTCACCGAGCCGCACTGGTGCAACTCCCCTTCAAGCAGTAGCACAAGCAGCGCCAGGAGCTCCCCGCAGCGCAAGCCGCTCGAGCAGTGGTAATCCGCGTCGATACGGGATATACCATGTCGATGAGCAGCTTGCCGATGGTATGTCGCCATTGCCTCCGCCCCTCCGCAAGACGGAATATGTGTATTGGCATCCGACACCCCGTCGCATCTACGAAGTCGTCCCTCAAAATGGAGTATAGGTAGAGGATAGAACCACTAGTATGTATATAATCAAAAAGAGGGTACGAAGAAGGATGGTTGTCCCGTAAGAGTGTAGTCGAGAACACGTGGAACGGTTCAACAGAATCAAAGCGGGTAAGAAGGCCTCTGGTGCGGAAATAACAGCAACAGCGGGAAGGAGAATTGGCAAGACAGAGGTGTTTTTTTGTCTGCTATAAAAGTGCAATGGGGATTGGAGGGTGGACTGGTAGACGAAAGGCCGAGGAGTCGTAAGTGAAGGGCATAGTATGGCTTCATGGATGTGAGCAGTGAGGTTGGAAGGACCTCTATCACGCTGACACGTCAGTTTCTGCAAGTGCACAAGTGCCAGCAAACGCACCTGTATGCCAGTGTCCGCCCCCGACTTAAACTCTTTGCTCTGGCTCTGGCCGGCAGTGGCCGCAGACCCTTTTCCAGTCCCAACTTTGAAAGACGCGAGCGTCCTGAAGAGGCGCGAAAGAAGGATAGTAGTACTAGTAGTAAGTCGGCCCGTAAGGATCTCGAGTCTTGTTGGGCTGCACACAGAGGTGTGAGTGGCAGAGGTCTGTCTGTAGCAGAGAAGAAACCTGGCAACTCACAGTTCTACCGGCTTGACCGCGACATCTCGATGATGGGTCGCTATCTGTTGCTATTCATGTCGACGGCTGTTGTTAACGAGCTGAGTTTGCGGCCCAATATCCGTCCCAGCTGGCCACCAGCTGGGACGGGTATTGAAAGATGGCGCTGGCGCAGCAGGTTAGTCAGTGAGGATGGCGGGATGCACGCTAGCCACACCAATAGGACAGAGCGAGCCCTGAAGCATGTCACCAGCGCTCGAATGAAAGGGGGAGGGAAAGTAGGGCGGCTGCTGATCGGGAGAGGAAAAAAAATATGTCACACATCCAAGTCACATCACTCAATCTCTCCGACGACACTCATCATCATGTCGACCCCGCAGGAATCCTGATGCTCTGGGGCCCAGAGGCTCCCAAAGCTCCCACAAATGAATTAACATCACCAGCGCCGACTCCGGCCTCCGGTCTCTAGGTCAACAGCAGTGTTCCATTCAATTCATAAACAAATCGACCAGGTCTGCTGGGAGTTGTTCTCACCCTAGTGCTTCGGCATCCCATTTGTCAATCACCGGACACTGCGGGTCAGTCTCCCATAAATCCCAGTCCTTGGCGGCACCCGGTCGGTAAATATTCCCCCCCCCCAACTTCCGCAATGCCTCCGTCCACCTCACGACTCTTTCAGCCCATCCGCGTCGGCGAAATGGAGCTCGCGCATCGCGTCGTGTTTGGCCCGACGACGCGTTTCCGCGCGAGCAAGGTGCACGTGCCCCTACCGCATGTCGTGGAGTACTACGAGCAGCGTGCGAGCACGCCCGGGACATTCATCGTCACCGAGGCCAACTTCATTGCACCGTGCGCGGGCGGGAACCGAAACGCGCCGGGCATCTGGTCGGACGAGCAGATATCAGCTTGGAAAACGGTGCGTTGCCTCTGGTTTGAGCGAGTAAAGGCTCATAGCGATCAGATTGTTGACCGTGTTCATGCCAAGGGATGCTTCATGTACCTCCAGCTGTGGGCCACTGGCCGGGCGGCGGAGCCTGACGTGCTTGAAGAGGAGGGCGGGCTCGCCTACGTCTCCGCCTCCAATGTCCAGCAGAACGACCGCGATCGCCCGCCACGGGCTTTGACAACAGAAGAGCTTAACGAATACCTTGAGCTGTATGCCGTTGCTGCGTCCAACGCTGTGCACAAAGCGGGCTTCGACGGAGTCGACATCCACGGCGCCAACGGGTACCTGCTGAACCAGTTCTTCAACCCGAAAACCAATGACAGGATGGACGAATATGGAGGCGCGTCTATCGAGAACAGGGCCCGGTTTCCGCTGGCAGTGGTCGAGGCGGTGACGAAAGCCGTCGGGCAGAGCAGAACGGGGTTCCGCGTTAGCCCATGGGGGACGTTTAACGGTGCGCTCTCCACCCGCGTCATAAGTCATTGATTATCCAACCCTTTATCTTTAGACATGTACTTTGAAGACCCGATCCCCACCTACACATACCTTGTCACCCAGCTCCGTGACCGCTTTCCGGACCTCGCTTACCTCGCCGTCGTAGAGCCGCGCTTCGACGGCGCCCAAGACGTCGCATTCGTGCCTGAGGGCAGCTCCAACGACTTCATCCGTGCCATCTGGGATCGTCGTCCGCTCATCAGCGGTGGTGGATCGACGCGTGCGACGGCGATCCAAGCTGCGGACGACAAGGGCGACCTCGTCGCGTTTTCGCGGCTGTTTATATCCAATGTGCGCCTGTTTCCTTGGCTTATTCTTCAGGAAGAATGTTGATTCCCTTGAAGCCCGACCTGCCATTCCGTTTGCTGCACGATATACCGCTCACGAAGGCCGATCGCGCGTTCTTTTATTGCCCGGGGAGTGTAGATCCCAAGGGATACACCGATTACCCGTTTGCCTACACCGGTTGACCGGGTAATAGTCCACCACTGCTATCCTGAGTACTAAACAACAATGGTTCGTTATATCCAATTTTCCAAGAATAAGATCGAAATTCAAAAGATTGAAGTGGGATCAAATGATTGCAGGAAGCTTCGAAACGTTCCTTGATCTGATACCACCATGTCCATGTCGCCGCCGGACGAGCCACATCTTCCACCTGAGCTGGAACGCGTCATCTTTTGTGCTGCAGCATACCAAAGCCCATCAGGCGTACCTTTGCTGATGCGCATCGCGTGGCGCGTAAAACAATGGTGTGCCCCAGGCTACCGAATATTTGTATAAACCAGTCAACTTACTAATGTTGCAGGGTCGAGCCAATGCTGTATCGCTGCCTGATCATCACCTCGACTACCCCGCGCATCTCTCATACCTCCAGAGCCATCCCAAATCTCATCTTCGCGCGCTTCGAAGAACTGCTGAAATCTGAATCATCAGCATCAGGAAAATGACAAAACCACTTACATATCTTAGCCAACTTTTGTAAGACAAATAAGACACAAAAAAGATGTTTAAGACATAATAAGACCTGTAAGACCCATAAGATCTTATGCATCTTAAATAGGCCAAGTCCATGTCTTAAATAAGACACATAAGATGGAAAAGACATAATAAGATGCTTGAAAGATCTTTTATAAGATTCACTAAGACCTTTCATAAGACTCAGTAAGACCATTCTTAAGACCCTCTGATCAATCATAAATGCAGGAAAATATCATTTTTGCAATACTATACTACTGAGATGATGTTCCTGCCCCATTATCCAACTCCATGCCGTTCTCCTCATCAGACTCATCATCAATCAACCCGATTGGTGGCAGGTCAACCTCCACGTCTTCAGTTTCCAGCTCCGTCCTAAGGGGCGATTTGGGTGTGGCGGCGGCGTGAGCTCCACTCATGATCTTGGCCCATTTGTTGGCTGAGAGAAGGTCAATGACGTTATGGACACGGTTTACACCTGCGCGACCATCCCCGGTTCGGTCGCCCCATATGTCCTTCGAAAACGGGGGGAGTTTGACCTTAGAGCGTAGGGGGAGGGATGCGGACCCCCGTCTTGTACAGGTCAAGCGCACGGTGGACCTGGGGAGAAGTCAATACGATGACAAATCTCGCATAGTGGCGTGGCCGAATGGCGTGCGCCTGCCAAACGCCGGCGTGCACGCCACTGATGGCCGTGGCGTGGCGTGGGATGGCGTGTGGTGTCTCCAGTGGATTTTCTCCATTATGACAGAGGCCACCGGGATGGGACTGAGAGCATTGCATGGCATTAACTAGCGCCTAGCTATGTACATACTACGAATTTGTCAATATATAACCTCAAAAAATCCATAATGTCATCGGAGGCGCCGGCGACAGTGATCTAGTGAAGCTTCCCATTGCGGAGGCGCCGACCCGAGACAGGCTCTGCAGGATGTAGCGGCCGAGGGCGTGGTCGTTTCTTGACTGCCGCGGGAGCTTCTAAGGCCATCCCAGTCTGGTCTTTCCGTTTGCGCTTCTGACCGGTGCGTGGAGGCTGTGCTGCGGCGCCGATGATCACCGGTATGGCTGGCCGGCGCTGGAAGTCCGGTGGCGATGGCTTTGTGCGGCAATACACGGCAGGTGAATAAGCGTCTCAAGCGCGCAAGCATTGCACCTAATTAGTGCGGAAGACAAGTGCAGATAGAAAAAAAAAACGAAATCGTACCATCACGATCTGCATGCACATGCCGAGGTGGTAAGCAGCGCCTGCGCAGGCTTGAGCGGTTGACTCGGTCCTCACCGATCTGCTTGTGCTCACGCCACGCCGCCCGTCGTTTTGCATTCTGAGTGGTTGGACGATGGCCCGCCCATGCAGAGACGCATCCGCGGCCCCATTCTTGCGTTTAATGACCAGTCCGCCTTGAATTTGAGACGGTAGACGCCAAGCTCTTGTGGATCGACACGGATCCGCACGCCATCAACGCCAATCGGTCGACCGGATTGGCGTGCACGCCAGTTCACGTCAGGCGTTCTGTGCACCTCTAGCCACTTGGAAGGGACCCCAGGGAGACAAGAAGTGTGTGCGGCGAAGGAGAGCAAATGGGACTGCGTAGACAGTGGTTGGCCAGCTTGTAGTGACTAGCATGCATTGACTCAGGTTGATCTCAGGTTTGCGGCGGTCTCAAATGCGAAAGCAAGGAAGTGAAAGCCAGGATGGTGGCAGAAGAGAAGAAGCGTTGGCGCTGTCGAGGCTGTGCGCCTCGTGCTCGCTGTCATCGCTGTCACAATGCAGTGCAAGTTACTCGACCTTTCTCAAACCTTCAAGTTTTCATGGACTGTGATGCACATACATGGCTGAATCTTTGCGACAGCTTCGAGAACGCCGGGACAGCCAGCGGTACTTGCGTCATGGTAGCGGCTTCCGCACAGCGCTCGTAGGGACTCCGCTCCGGCGCTCCCTATAGCGGGGCCTGTTGCTTTGGTGATATCGACTCGCAAGCACCGTGGCCTTGCGCGGCCGTTTCACTCTTGGTATCTGACGGTATTCGTGTATTCGCCGCCGCCGCCGCCGTGAAGCCACACCCCACAAATCATCGAGCAACCGCTGTGGCGCCTCAAACTGTCTCCTCGGAGTTCAGACTCCCGGCCAGCCGGGACCAGGCCAACGGACTCTGTGGTGTCTTTCCAGCTCCATCATCAGCATGACTGCTAGGTAGCAAATGCGGTCGACGCACTCGACTGCGTGGGCATTGCTCTCCGGGCCTGCGGGCGATGGCGGCCGTCAAGAGGGGGCCGGCGCTCGGGGCACCAGCCCGGGCCTATGGGCAGGCGTGTGGGACGGCGTTGGTTGGCGTTGGAAACGCTGGGCACACGCCAGTTGTGTTGGGCGTGCCAAGCCGACCGATTGGCGTGCACGCCTGATGGCTGGCGTGGGCTTTGATCCACAGCCAAAAGCCACTCCCACGCCACGCCACGCCACTTGGCGCTGGCGCACGCCATTCGGCCACGCCAAAACAGTAGCTCTCATACGATGACTATACTGGGACAGCAACGCACCGCTTGCACCGACATTGCGAGTGCACCAGCTGGGTGATACTTGGCAGTATTCTGACCGGTTACTGAATCCGTCTCGCAGGGCCCCAGTGTCCCATTTTCGGCCTTGCTAAGCTTGAAGTACGCTGCAAGCGTAGACAAGATGAGTGGGTGCCGAAACAAGCCCTGCCATTATGTCAGCCCGGATTCCAAAAGGCGAGTACCATACCTTCCGGTCTGAGTATACAGGCTCAGCCTTGTCGGTGAAGGTCCTCTTGATGCTGGCGAAGTAGAAGGCATAATAGTCCTTCTTGTTGTCCTTCTTGACATTGCTGAGAAGGAGGTCCACGTCGGTGCGAATGCTATCGGCAGTCTTGCCATCGAAATAGTGATGCTGAAGAAGGAAGCGCGAAATTTACTCCTCGGGCATGACCTTGATCCCGCGCAGATGCGCACGATATTCCAAGCCTGCCCGCAGGCCCACGAGCTCATGGTCCTACCCTTCATTTCCATTTACGGCGCACTCGATTTACTTGTTCCCGGTGAATTGCGGCGGCTTCGAGGCACTCTTGGCCGTCTGTTCGACTGGCACGACAGCGCCGTCGCCACGAGTTTCTACAGGCAACCATCACTCGCAAGTATCACTCACCTCGAGCTCCTCGACGGCGGTGAGCTGGATAATCTTCGCCTGTGGATGCAAATACTCGCGCTCCCGTCGCTTACACACTTCGCTATCTCCGATAGCCACCTGCTCAACGACAGCCCGGGGTTGGTGGAACCCCTGCTCGACACGCTATCTTCGCCCATCGACTCACTGACCGTGTTTATAATCATCCACTATAGCGCAGGGGGGCCGTCGCCGCTCCGCTACGACGAGCGCTTGATTGCCCACCCGGGCTTCGTCGTTTTCCCCGACGGGCTCGGCAAATGGGCGGCAGAGTGGAGCGCCAGCGCGCTTGGTGCGATGGACTATTGGGCCCGTGCCGACGAGCTGGCGCGGAAGCGGCGTGCAGGCTTGAGTGATGGTAAGGAATGCCTTGTCTGAGGTGCAACAATGCTGATTTTGAGCAACAGTGAAGCAGTATACACTGCAACCTGAGGTAACGGTGGCTCTCTTTCAGTAGTGTAACTGAAGCAATATATTCCTGAGATGGCCTACACTAAGGGCTTGGTTTATATAGGGGTATTTGTAAACCAGTTCATATGCTGCCAGTAACTGAGTAAGGTTGACCATATATCATAGTTATATTATAAGATACTATACTATTTTACTTAATTTGAGTGGCAAAAATACTGTAATATTGTATACAAAAATTGCAGTTTGGTATGACATGTGAGATTTGAAATGAGGAAAATACTAAGTACATGTACAGTACTATGGCTGTGATTCAAAAATATTCTAAGTGGGAAATATTACTGGGAATATATAAAGTTTTCCTTGATTATAAAACATTCAATATTTTGGTCCTGAAAATGCTTTCACCCCAGCCAAGTAAGCATTTCAGTTGAGTAGAAAAACTGAAAGTTTTTTTACATAACAAAAATTTAATTCCAAAACTTTATAAACATTTTTGAATCATGGCTGTGTAGCTAGTCTGCTGTATTATTTCAATCAATTAGTCCTGTCACAGTCACATTGACTTTTTTGGCCGAAAATTTTCTGCCTGTCACAGGTCACAGCAAATTTCCTTGGTCTCAAACCTTCCCAAAAAGGTAATTTCTAAAAGTTTTCCACACCTACAGTGCGCAGAACTTCCATATAAGGCAGGACCTTGGCTGAATTGCATATTTCTGCCACACATGTCACTGTCAGGGGAACCTCCCTTTCGGCCCGGAGACGCGTCCGATTCCCGGTTCGATTCCGGTTCCGACTCCGGTCCGGCCCTCCATCTCGCCCGCACAATCACCAATCCGTCAACACCCTCCCGACGGTCGCCCTGGGACCTCGCCTGCGACGCCGCCCAAGCCTTCTGTGCCCGAC